CACACACACACACACACACACACACACACACAGCTCTGCTCTGTATTTTCTTGCTCCCTCCTCCTGTGTGTGGAAGATAAACAGGAGATGTTGATGTTTTCATGCACAGCTCTAACCGACCTCGGAGCTGCTGAGGACTCACTGACTCACTGTTGTAACCCTGATGTGACTCATGTCACATGCCACACTGAGACGAATGACACCGAAATGACTGTTTTCTTCTGTTATTCGTTATTCATAGTCCTTCACTGACAGACAATAACATGCAATTTTTTGTTTTTTTTTAAAGGCACTACTGAGCTCTACCAACAGGCACCAACCTGCCAATTATAAAGCAGAGGTAGGCAGATTGATCTAAATATCGACAGTATCAATACCAACGCTGGTATTAGTATATGGGCGTACTAGCGTGATGGGATCGATACTTTCTATCCTCTAAGTTTAGTTCGCAGCCCACTCAGTTTTATTAAATGATTCTTTTTTCTCGTTAAACGAGAAAAAAGACCTCAGACTTGCACTATGAAAAATGTCTGTTTTATTTATACGTGACATCACATTTAAACAACAGAACTGAACCCAAACAGCAGTTTAAGTTTCAAAATTTGTAGTGTTTTCTCTCATTATTGTAGAAACTAAAAATCACGATGGTTGGTGGTGGTCATTTAAATATGTTGATGATGATTTCTCTCATCAAACCGTGCCACCGCGCTCTCCTCTATAAGCTGTCTTTGTAAGGAAAGAGCGCTGGTAACAGCAACGCTCTGAGAAAAATCAAGACATTCAAAGTTGGTTCAGCTTCATGGTAACGAGGTCCAAAGTGATTTATACCACGTCTGTTTGCTGCTCTCGCCATCAGTCTGCCAGAAACACCCCATCATTACGAGCTGGGACAATCTTCGCGGTCAGCCTTGGCCGGCCGTTGACCCAGCAAGTCTGCAGTTTCATTAACGGCCTCCAGGGGAAGCACGGTCTGCTGTTAGATAACATCACTTCACTCAGAGCTGGAGCTCAGGACCTTCTGGTACCAGAATACCAGAATATATTATGGCTTCCATCTCATGTTACACAGTACACACATTCCCCGCTTCACTCCCTGAAATACACACAGGCAGGCCTGCTCTGAAACGCGACTCTTGCTGGCCATGTCTGAACTCAGCACAGAGTAAATACACAGTGTGAATTATGCAAAAATGCTAAGAAGTAAATGAGGATACAGCTGATAGGAGTCTTTACATATTTACATGCAATATGTGATTATAGAAGACAGGTTAAAGCATTGATTTGTGATTAGTTCCAGAGCTCGTTCAAAGATGGAAGTATTGTTTTTAAATGAAGTTAAGGTGATATTGCTTAACATTGATTTTTCTAAATTTGCCAGCTGAATAGTAACCATGAAATTTCTGAGACGACCTCTTGTAATCGACTTGATTTAATATAATCTCCGCCAATTATTGTCTCGAGAGTAAGTGAAGTAAATAAATACCTGAATAGAAAGTATTGATTTTCAGAAGCTCCTTCTCACAGGTCTGGAAAAACCTCTCCTCAAACTTAGCGTAGTATCTCTTCACCGTGTCTTCATCTGTGACTGTTAAAAGAAAGAAACGATGGTTATTAGCAGTGGTGAGTGTGTTTACTGCAGCATACAGCTAAATTAGCAGGTTATCATTTGTGGGACTCCCACTCCACTCGTGTACACAAATCCACAGCTGCCAAAGCAATTAGAGCAAAAATGTGAAAAATGTAACAACTTTGTGTTTTGTTTGTTTCAGTGTTACTACAGTGGAGTAAAGGGACATGCAATAGCTGCCATCTATGTTTATCAGTGACTGGGTGATTTAGCCAACTGGCTAATCCTCCAAAAACACCACGTACCCTTTAAGGGTTCATCAGCGACGAGGCAAACAGACGTCCATTCAGAGCTACAATTAGATCAGCAGCTTCCTCCTGTCTCTCCACTGTCTGACAAAACCCTGCATGTCTTTTTCAGGACCAGCCAATTCAATCAGCATTGATGCTCCGTCTCAAATGATCCTCTGCCTCATTCACAGCAGGCTATCCAACACCTGACAGAGCTTAAATGCAGCCGAAGGCCAGTTACTGCACACGCACACACGTGCGCTCACTTCTGCAGTGCATGTTCTAAACACTGCTTTAAATTCATCATCAGCTCATTACTGAAATGATGTTCAAATCCTCAGACAGCCTTTATTCATCAGGGGTCACCTCAGCGGGTAGCACTGCATGTTTGATTTGACAGCTGTTTTTATGCTGGATGCCCTTCCTGACATGACCCCAAAGGAATTATTATCTCTCCCAGGAATGAAGCAGGAAACTATGGAGCTCCTCAGTGTGACAATAATAATAATAAACAGTTTCCTAAAAGATCAGAAAACATTCAGAGAGTCGGACTTGTTCCATAAATATTTGACTGAGCTCATGTTCAAAACAGCAAAATGAAAAAGGTCATTTCAAGTGGAACAAAGAGAAATGTAGGTTTGCTGGATAAAGCAGCTCTTCTGTCAGATCCACCGGTTACACAGCTCTGTAAACACAAGCTAATATATAAAGTAAGCTAGGCTGCAGGTGGCATGTGGACAGGCTTTCTATTGGCTACAGTAATAA